ACTGAGGTACAACGTATGCAGCTCTACAAGGCTCAAAGACCCCATATGGAATACTGCTCACGTCTCTGGGCCGGTGCTCCCAATTACCAGTTTCTTCCTTTTAATCAAATTCAGCGAAGGGCTTGTCGAATTGTCAATCTCCAACATATTACTGATCGGCTTGATTCTCTCTCTCTTGTACGAAGTATACTATGGATAGTGCTCTGAAGAGTTGGTTGGGTTAGAAGCCTGCCTCGTTTCAACACTGTACGAGCCGTATTAATTCTAAATTTCATCAGCATCACCTTGATGGCTGGAAGTCTTTCATGGTCCGCTTCACGAGACACTTTATTTTGCGAACTGTGGAATCAACTCCCGGGACTTACGACCTCCAATTATTTAAAGAAAAAATACTCCTCCCTCAAAGGCCGGCAACGCACCCACTACAATGGGTGTCTATGGGCTACAATACAAAAATACATTAAGCTAAACTTGCTCTTTAATGTTTTCTCAAAAAAAAACTCTAATTAAGAAAGCAGTGTACCTACAAAATATTTCTTACATTGTATAAATCAGAGAAGATCAAAAAGCTTCAACGATTTAAAAAATTAATTCAATTAGGAAGAAACAGCTAGTCACGGTTATAGCGACAGAAAAACAACAATTGCGTGATTGCGTATCAACAACCTATTATAATAGAATCATCTTATCAAGAACAAATAGATTATAAATATAAACAGAATTCACCTTGAGTAACGGCCCACTTTTTATTCTGCGTTAACTTTCGTTTTCATTACAAGAGCCAAGGCTCAGGCTTTTTCCGCTAGGTTGGTGCCATTGGTATATTGTTCCTTGCCTTTATTCAATGTCAAAATTGTTAATTAACGAATCACTAGACTTGTAGTATTTGTTTAAACATATTTGTATTTTTCTTCTGATAGTATCTGACCTTTTAATTATTCCTTTTTTGACAGAACTCAAGAATAAAAGAATGTGTATTTTTGCATTATTATAATATTCAATTATATCTCAAGAGTATGTTTTTATTATCTAGAATAGTGTTATCGTCACGCATTTATTCAATTTGTTGCATTTATATTATATGTATTACTTTGTTTCTAAGGCCCTTTATTCCAGCAAGATATACAAACATACTAGAAAGGTAAACAGATTAAAAGGTATGATTGATGCCAGCAATTCGGTCCGACAGCTTTGAACGAGCAAAACACGAAAATTACTTCGCGCCTCAACTGATCTACGTAAATGGTCATAATGCCACATTTAAATTATTTTAATGACCAAACAGTCGGATATTTTTGTACACTTAAAGCCGCTTATTATTCTTACAGTAATCTTATCTCTGTCTTCGGTGGCCTTTTGCCTATACGCCTTCGATTGCTGTACAAGATGGTGACTTCCTTACGATGTCTTTTTTACGTTTTTTTGTGTTGTGTACATTAAAATTAAAACTCAGTAGTGCACAGCTGGGGTTCAAACGCACGTCCACTGAAGGTTTATTAACTAGAATGTTTAACACTTTGTGCATTTTAACGAATATGTAAAAAAGTTTTTCCCATAGCAATAGGCTTGCCAGTGCGCACTAGGCATACGAAGGATTCTCACCTCTTTAATCAAACCAAATTATTTATTAATTTTTCTGTAAAATTGGCATTATTAACGTATATATTTCTTGATATTTATAAATAACACTTATGTATTTTTACAGTGAGTAAAATGTTGAGTGCTGCCAAGTATTTCAGAAATTCTATCAGTCAATATTTCAAGTTTAGTAAAAGTCTATATTTATATACGAACCAATAAGTATTAGTTACTGATATTGATTATAAGTTTTTAAACATGTTTTTTCACCATTACTTAAAGTTGTACACCACGTTTTTGACTAAAGAACTCTTTTGTCTCCTTTATCTAATTGTGTTTACCCTGTGACGAGGAGAGACAGATATGTTGAGATAAGACGGTGCAAGACTAATATATTTATAAATAGGATTTAGTTTGCAGAATATTATTAATCGTATTTAATAAATTTTGGTGATTCTGATATTGTATGTAAATTAATAATGCAGACGGTAAGGTCGAGTTCAAAGCGTCAGCAACAAGTTATGGTATTTGTAGTTATCATTTTAACCTTCTTAAGGAAAAATCTAAGTTATACCAAAAGTTAAATACGTAAAACTATCGCAATTAAAAACATATTGTTCACAGCCTTCATGTTGGGTCACCAAGTACACTTACATGATTGTAAAATAGGTAAACAATCCTTATAAGCGAATATTCACGAATTTCGAGATATTTTATTTATTACAGTTGACCTAATTAAATGAATGGGAGGGCAACTGGTGGCGTAGCGATCTCTTCTAGGCAACAATGAGGGAAACAAAATAAAAGAATAAATTAAATAAGGCAAGCATATGAAGAACAAAAATACATAAAATATAGAGACAAAACGAATTTAACAAAACAGTTCAAGTAAAACATATGTAAACAGTGAACAGGACAATAACTTTAATATTATTATTATTTTCTACTTAGTGTTTTTTTTTTCGCTACTGAGGCGCAAACTAGCTGCTGTGGTCTCTGGCAGAATGACCAGCGCTGTGGAACATTCTACTCCTCAGCATAATGCTGAGCCAGGGCCAATTATAACCACAGCACACACACATTGCACACTTGGACCGAACCGAATGGGAAAAGGGATTTTTTTTTTTATTGTTTTTAATGTCTTATTTTATTTGTTCTTTGAGTATTGTTATTTTGTGTGTTTATGTGTGTGTGTTTTCGTATGTAATAAATGTTACGTCAATGTCTATGTCAATATAAAAATAGACACGTCATGAAAAAGAAAAGTGCACAATAATAACGATAATTTTAAATCAGTTTCACATTAGTTAGTACGAAAGTTAGACAAACGATGTGGACAGGTAATGTTTTGCAGTCGAGATATTAAAGATGATAGAGGAGCTAAGCGAATAGAGACAGGAAGTGAATTCCAAAGCCTCACTGCAGATAACTTCGGGTTGAAATTTGTTCAATACGATTTATAAAACAAACACTCTTGAACCACACATATTTTAATATCCAAAAAAGAAAGATGCAATCGGTATCAAAGGTCTGATCCACAAATGTCAATTAATTAATCGGAAAATACCCGACAATATTTTGTTTTATTATAACAGTAGAGAATATCGCGTCCCGATAAACAATGTAAAGATCAACTTAAAACTTGTTCTTTCGCTATTTCTTTATTTAAACAGTAAGCGAAAAGGATAGCTGTATTGTTATCGATTTTTTCAGCATGGGTGGTCTTACAGCTAAAAACAGCTTCTTCCAGATAGCCAGATGTATACAGAACTTAAAACTACTTAATCAATTTGACGATTATTTAAATTAACCTATTCCTTGGGATTGATTTGCTCCAGTTCAGATATGGCTGCTTTGCCTTACAAACAATCTGTATGACTCGGAACTTGGCGATTAAAAGAGTCTTCTTGCTCGCTCTACGCCCTTGACTTGCGAACTGGTAGTAAATGTAAATATAGAATCAATTTAACATCTTTTCTGTTGACGTTCATAAGTGTACTTGATTACCTATATGAAGTTATTTTGAGTTTGAGTTTGAGTTTATTATACAAGCACAGTGTAACAAACATATATAAAATATATACAGAAATATATTTTATACTATCAATTTGACTTAATTATCGAAAGACATTGAGTGATTTGCTAAATTTAAGCGGATATAATATAATAGGAAAACATGCAGATTTTTATAATTCATAAAATTAATTATTCGGAAAATTTACATACAAATGACATTAACATTAATAAATATACTTATCATCGTTTATTTAATCGATTTAACTATCAAATAATATTTTATACGTATTTTTAGATTAAGCTTAGAACATTTTAATTGGCATATAGGTTATTCTATTTATTATACCCAGAACCTGTGGTGTATGATTTTTTTAAAGTAGTGTGTAGATTTGCTTTGAATTTTATTGGTCATTCAAAATATACTTAATAACATAGTATTGACTATATTTGATATTTATTATTAAGGCAAAGTTTACACGTTTTTGAAGAGAAACAATAAAAAAAACATTTTAAAAATTATATTTCTATTCAAAATCAGTGATTTGATAATGTAAATAAAACCGGTAAAAAATTTTTTATTTTTTTATTTATTTATTTATTATCCACAGACTATGTTATACAGAAATCAACATCAGTAAAACTTTAGTACATTTTATCGATCGAGTTGTTGACATTAATATTATCAAACCTGATATATTCATAGCTTTGTATCTGTCAAGGTGAAATCAATCCTGTTTTAATCAAAAAGTAGTTTCTACAAATATATCGTTAATTCAAGTAAAAATAACAGGCTATTTGAATATATGCACACCGAGACGAACTCATTTAGAATACGTTACAATGGATTCCTGCTAAATTACTATCAAGTGAGAGTGTGACGTCAAATCCGTTCCTGTTACGTAGCGCGTACTACGTCATCGCTACGGAGTAATATTTTTCGTAGCGTCACTACTTCACTCGTAGACACAACCTCGTAGCCCTTTAAAATAGCATTTGTATAATTAATAAATCCACGAATTATAAAGAAATTCCTTCAAAATCGATACAAATTAACAAAGCATCGCATAGAATTATGTGAAACCAATGCGTACTCCAATGTGTGAATACGTAAAATTAAACTAAACTCGACTAAAAGAGACGAAAATAGCAAATATTTGTGAATGTAAAAGAGAGGGAAGGTGTAGCAACAAGTTGGCGCGTTATCGCGGCCGTGACGTCGCGACCCTTTCACTCGAGTCGCGTCGAAACCGGCGCTCGCAGTCAATCAGTCCGCGCGGCTCGGTCACTGCGTGAGAACGTCTCGCGTAACGTGTCCCCAAATAGAACCACGGGTTATTCGCTTATAAACTTTTCGGGATAACACCTAAACGGCACTCCGTTGTGTTAGAATCTCGTATTGTGCAACCATGGGCGTAATCAAAGTGACTCCTGACACCGCGGCGTTGATCTCCGCCTGCGACTTGCTCGATGACATGAAGGTGAGTCCCGAATCATGTGACAAATCGCCTCCTAATGCCGGTAATTACGTGGGACGTCCGCCTCGTCACGGGATTGCGAGTAATTCTGAAATGCGCTTCGACGCTGTTACAACACGAGACGCCAAGAAAACATTTTTTGGCATAATATTTCAAGTCAAACGAATAAAATTTGTTCAAGTCGCTTGTTTCAATTAAGCAGTTGCTATGTTCTCTCTAAGAAAACCATAGATATTATTATCGCGTTGTTTACTCGCTAACGTTAAAGGTATTTATTCAAGTCATAAATTTGTAACAATTCATGATAATTTTTATAAATTTAGCGTTGCTCACGTATAATAAACATTTCCTTTTAATTAATAATGCAATATGTCGGCTATTCGACGCGATTTGTCACGCTTCTTGGGTTTTCGTTTTAAATGAAAGTTTGTTCTGGTTGATTACGACATAGGCATAGAATAGCAGATGGGCGCCACAAGTAGGAACCACTGTAGGCCGATTTCACGTCCATGGTGAAATGAAAAGTGGACGGAAGCGGTGTCCTTATCAGTGGTTTGACACGATTACTGGAGTCGAAGGTGGTACGTGAGGGCACGCGCAACCTTTGTCGGAATGCAGCCTAGTTGCTAATCGTATTGCGTTCTAAGATAGTGTTTTTTTCATGGACAGGAAAATGCTACTGAGTTGTGGCTTTACACATTGTGAAAGACGTGTGCACATATCGTACTATCAAATTATACTTAAAATTAAATTTTTATTAACTTAAGCGGTTATTACAAATGACCACAAACTAAGTACCATAATTTATATTTTAACTTGATACTATATTGAGTTTATTCCTTGACACATAACACAATTTTGTGCCCAGTTTATTACTTTTCAACTGATCAGTTCGTTCGTAATATATTTGATAGTGGTTTCCTTTCAAATACAAGCTAAATTTGAAAATACCTATCATATAGACGATATATTTTAAGTATTTCTACTCTCAATATGATAAATATGGTACCGATACTTCTAAATCTCACCTAAAAATTTAGTTAAATTAGTTTTGACCTTCAATTGAAAGAACTGCAATACTTTTCCTATAGATATCTTTGTAATATCTTATCAAGTGAAATTAGGCACTTGTGTCAAGATAATGCATTATCTTTTATATCTATTTAACTTCGATAAGTGTAATTAAAATCGGGAAAAATGGAAAATTCTGGAATTGCGCGTATATTTATCAATGCTGAGAAAACAAGTATGATAATCTCGCCCATACAAAACTACGACGCAAAATAGATTTATAAATAAGTTCATAAAATGCTAAATAAACTTGGCAGATATTATTGTTGTCAGGAATCCCTAAATTTGAAAAAGGGGCTTGGGGCACATTCAATTAAATATCTGTTTAATTAATTTAAAGTAGGCGATACATGTTTCTTTTTATACAATTCCAACCCTAGTCCTGCACTACTGCGTAAACTGATTTGGTATTAAGACTGTTAAATTATCGTTTATGGGCTATATTAAATCTAATTAAATCTAATACAATACACCAAATCGATTATGCCATGCCGAAGTATGCGTTGCTATGAAGTGGATGGAATTGGATTTAAAAATATGTTATTAAAATACTTTTTAACATTAAGACTTTAGGTTTTTCTACTATCAGTCTTTGTTTCCCAATATATAATTAAACGTACATCATAGGAAGTGATTGTTGCAAATCTAGTATTAACTTTTACGTCACTACACTGATAAGGTACTACGTTTGAATATAACCTGGCTTACGTAAAGAAACGTTAATGAACAATTTTTTGATCTATTAATTATCTTTAAACTGGCTATGTACTGCCAGGTTTCATTTGCGTTTAACCTGAGTGGGAACTGGGTCTAAAATATATCAGATACTGAAATATCTTTCAGACCCAGTTCCCGACTCTAAATAATTATATTACGCCAAGGGATCAAGCCGCACGGAAAGTGACTGGTCGTTGATTTTGAATATTGTTTTAATCGCGCGATTAAGAAATATATATTTTTGAAGATTACCAAGTTCTATAAATAAATTAATCAAATAACCTCCCAACTTGGCCCCACTTGAATAAAATATTACTAAAATCGATCTGCCTAGATAAAATGATAAGATCATGAAAATTATTATAAGATATCATTGTTTATAATAAAACAATGTGTTCGCACGTTTGACCTTCAATATGATGAAGAACCGTGTTAATATAAGATATGGATTACAGTTTTGGAGACCAGTTTTATTTTTTATGGTTATTATGGTTATAACACTGAGGGCAGTTGTTTTATTATTATTTTGAATTCTCGTGTCTTTATTATAATGCATACGTTTTACTTGTAATCTGTATCAATCTTGCTTTGAGGGCCGTTGTAACTACTCAACGCGAATCACATCGATGCACGATTATCATGACTGGTGAGGATGTCTCTGCTTTTTTAAAAAAAAATGTATAACTGTCAATGAGAAGTTATTTAAAATTGAAAATTACTTCATCTCAGATTTTTTTATCACATACTTGTAATATGAATAAGAGAAACTAAATTTGGGTGTTAAATTTAATTAAAATTTAGCAAAATACATTTCGGTTAAAACTCGTAGCGATAAGATAATTTTGATAATTGTGCGATTCATTTTAAAAATGATTAAGTTTTATGAGATATTTAAAATTTATTAGCATATTAAATAAATGTTAATTTAAAATTAAAACGCTAATTATTTCAGAAATAATTAAGATAGGAAACAAAAATTTAAATTAAATCCGAACCTATTGGAGACCCGACTGAATTTAAACCCCAAAATGTAAAAACAAATTCCAAAGACAACACGCGCCGTCACGCTAGAGCAACGCGAGATCACAGCGTTTCGACAATTCTCTATTAATTTATTCGCAAATTACTAACGTTTCAATAGAGAGATTATAATTATTAATTTGTATTGGATATAGAGAAAACAAGACACGAAATGTTATTCGTATTATGACGTGCAGAAGCGGTCATATACCTGCGAAACTTTTTGAATAAATAAAATAATACAAAGCAATTTTCTGTGTAATTTTATGGATTACGTCATTCAAAAACTATCTTCTAAGATTTATAATAAGGCTAAAGAATCACTGTATCTGTTTCGCAGAAACACAAAATAATAATAATCAATTATGGAAATAAAATAAAGAATAAGGTTTTAAATATGTAATGTGTGTGCGTTGTGGTTGTAATTGGCCCAGCATTATGCTGTGTTCCACGGCGCTGGTCATTCTGCCAGAGACCACAAACTCACAGTCAGTTTGCGCCGCAGACGCAAAATAAAAATTTTATAATAAAAATAGTAGAAAAAATAATAAGAATAATAGTAAAAATTAACAGTGTAAGTAAAGAAGTCTTGTGTGTGTGTGTAAGTATATAGTAAATAAAACAATAAAAAATAAGAATCTTAAGAGACCGCCTTCTGTGCCTGACACATGCCGCTGATTTTGAGGTCTATAGCATTACGGTTTCCTCACGATGTTTTCCATCATTTAGTGTTAAATGCGCACATAGACAGAAACCCCATTGACACAGCAGACCCACGACCTCAGGGATGAGAGTCACACTTACAACAACTTACCACTTTTGGAAATATGTACATTTTTATTGTACCTGTTGTATCAAGAAGTTGGATACGAGACGCCTAAAGAGAACTAAACCTTTTCAGTTAATAAACATGTAGTGAATATAAGTGCATTAGTTTAAGCACTAGAAACTTAAGTTAACATAATATTACTTATTAGCCATAATTATTGTATAGGCTTGATTGTAATTTATGTAAAGTCGCACTCTCTTTTGTGAACTTATTCAAGGAAAAATAGTGTACATTTATGTTTGTTAGTTCTTGAAGATGTATGCTTCGATCTCTGAAGCATTAAATTATATAAAATATAAATTATTCACAATCTATGTATATGTAACTAAACATTCTAGAAACATTTCTTTGTTTTCAATTAATAAATTTTACGAAGTTAAAATTTTTTAAGGTTTTTACAGCTCAGGTAATTTATTTTTTAATTGATTTTTTGATTATTAATTGGCTATTTAGGAAAATTTATATAAATTTCAATTACTTGCTAAAACCAGACTTAGGTAGTTTTATATAATCATTCTTCAAATTATCACTCGTATTAGACATTGGAGACCAGAAGCTAGTCGTTACATTCCTTAATTCCACATTTTGTCTCTGACTTATGACCATATTTTATAACAGGTTTTGGAGTTTCTGTGCCTGACATACGCGGTTGATTTTTGGTCTAAACCGTGTTTAGTTTTCACAATGTTTTTTTACTTGTTAATGTACACCTAAGTCTCGAACTAACGACCTAAAGGTTAAGATACACTTAGCTATACCAAAAACTACGTTTATTTAATAAAAAAATATGATATTTAAGTTGCATGTGTTAAAGTTTTCATATCTTGTCGCTACACGTAAACACTAACGTTACTATATCAGTAGATTTTGATAAAATAAATATAAGTTAAGTAATGTGCAACAATCAACAAATAAAGTAAATATAATCGCAATGTTTCGAATAATAATAGCATTCAAAGCAATTTGTAGTATCTCTATACTCATAGGATCTTAGACATACACTAATTAAAACAATCACTAAAATAAAAGTTTTAAATACTTAACTCTAAAAATAAGTTTTTAAAATAAAAAATATTAGTCTAAACCTGTGTTCCCTAACCTCTTTTGTGCCATGCCACCTGAGACACCTTATTCAACATACATAACTTTTAATTAAAACAAAAATTATGGTTATATTAAAGAAACATAAATGATACGTATAATTTTTCCTTATTAGCAAGAAATTACAAGGAACTTGTTAACGAAACACAGCATAAAAACATGAAATGAAAAAATTAAAATTCCAAATATCATATATCATAATAATAATCTTAATTTTTTTAGAAAAGCCCTTCACAATCAAATTTCCCCCCTGTGGGGCGTGGGCCCAACGTTGAGAATCACTGGTCTAAACTAATAACAAAAACTATTTTTATAGTCTATGCTTCATTATAAATGGAACAACAGTTTGCTTAACTATTGGTATCAATACTGTACGAATTTATATTAAATAAAAATAAGTAGGTTAACTACATAGCAAATACTAACATTACATACATTCCTTTTATAACAATAAAGATAA